GACCAGGATCTTGCTATGTTGTCTGGGCTGGTATCAAACTCCTGGGCTCAAGTGATCTTCCCACCTCAGCCTCTGGTCTGGAGTAGTTGGAACTATAGACCTACACACCACACCTACATACATGCATATGTGTGTAGGTCTGTATGTGAGAGAGAGAAAGAGAAAGCGGGTGGGGTGGGGAGGCAAGGTCTTGTAAATTTTACAGGCTGTCCTTGAATTTACAATCCAGTTGCTGGGATTATAGGAGTGTACCACTGCGCCAAGCTATTTGGTAGTTCTTGCACACTGAATAATTATCTTGAGGTCATTCATAGTTCGAACATTAGATTGTGCTACATTGCTTTTTGTGACAAAATACATTAGTTTTAGGAGATCTTTCTGATAAAAAAGTTTGAGAAGTTGTACAGTACCCAGCAGGTGCACATATCCTATTAGTAACTATTTACGGTTATTTTAGAAAAAAAAAGAAAAATATATTTTCTTTCAAGTTGTACTGTTTTTCAAATGGCTACCAAACTGTTATGAATCAACTACTCAAAACCAAACCTAGAGGGAGAAAAAAGGCAAAGAAAGATATTAGGTGTTTCTTTTGATCTAGAGGTGCTATGAAAAAGTTGTTGAGATACTAAAGTGTGCTATGAACTGAGAAATTGGAAACTTTGGACTTAATTGTTGAAAACAGATCAAAATAGTCATAAAGTAGAGTATGGACATTTGGTTTGAGATGGCTTAATGGGTAATAATAGATATGTTGGGAAAAGTATAAACGGCAGCCACACCCCAGAGAAAAACCCCAACATGGCGCCTAAGGACCTCTTCTTCCTACCTTCCTCTTTTCTGCATTGGCGTGAAAAGTTCCCGCCCGTGTGAACTCTCCCGCCGGCTCCAATTTCAAATCTCGCTGGGAACCTTAGCCCCAATAAGAACTAATTCCTGGGCTCCAGAACTGATATCTGGAAGAACTTGCCAATAAACGGGTGGCCTGCCATTTATCTAAGCCCTACCATCTCCCCCTTAGTTCTATATAAGCACACAGCCTTTTGCAATAAAATTGGAATTCTCCCGGCGAAGTGTCTTTGCGTGGGGAATTCTTTCAAGATATTTAATAGGTAGTTCATGTATATGGCCATCCAGTGTTTATGTTCACGGTACAACAAATCCATAAATGTACAAAACACCCAAATCTGTACCTTTTCGTGGTTAAAAACCTCTGAGGAAAACAGAGAAGTAAAGAAGGTTTAACAAGGACAGGGACAGGACAGGACTCCAGACAGGATTTAAGCAATCCAAAGCCTGAAGATGTGATCTAAGGCCTGCTAGGCCTCATAGGGCAAACTCTTCTCAGGGTCATGGGTTAATCCAGGATTAAAAAAAAAAAAAATAGGGTCCAAGGTGTTTGGTTGCTGAACCTGAATCAGAGTAAAGTGTAGAAGTAGAGATGTAGCCCAGAGAGTATGCATCTACTGTGTGTGAGACTCTGGGTTCCATCTCCAGCATGGTGAAAGAAAGGAAAACAATAACAACAACAAACAAACAAACAAAGTAAAGTGTGTTAAAGTCTGAAGATTATGTCACTCTGACCAAGATATTGTTGGTAAACTATCTTTGCATACCACATAAAGGTACATTTTTTTTTTCTTTTGCAGTTCTGGGATCAAACCCAGGGCCTCAGAAATGCTAGGCAAGTATTCTACCATAGTGCTACATACTCAGCCCTTTTTTGTTTTATTGTGGGGCAGGGTCTCACTAAGTTGCTCAGGCTGGTCTCAAAATTGTGATCTTCCTGCTTCTTTCTCCTGAGTAGCTGGGATTACAATTGTGCATCAATGTTTCTGGTAATAACATTATCTCTGTAGTAAGACGTAAATCAAACTGTCCCTCACAGAAAATTGGAGAAACACTACAGAAAGTTGAACTTGTTCTTCAGTTTTCCTTTTGTAGATATATATGGCAGATCATATTTTTGTGACTTTTTTAATTTTGATTTTTTGTGATAACTGGGTTCAATCACTGAGTTACATCCCCACCAACACCCCCTGCTTTTTTTTTTTTTAAACTCATTTTTACTTTGAGACATAGTTTCCCCAAATTGTCCAAGCTGACTTTAAACTTTTGATCCTTCTACTTCAGTCTCTGGAGTAACTGAGATTACAGGTGTATTCAGGGCATTAGGCTTTGTGATTTTAATACACTTAATTTCTGGGTTATGGTGTTGCACACCTATAATCCCAATGGTTTGGGAGACTGAGGAAGAAGGATTGAAAGTTTGAAGCAGTCTCAGTAATATAGAGAGGCCCTAAGCAATTTAGTGAAACCCTCTCTCAAAAAAAAAAAAAAAAAAAGGTGGTGATGATGGTTGTGGCTCTAAGGATGTAGTTCAGTGATTAAGCCCCACTGGGTTTAATCCCCAGTACAAAAAAATAAAAATAAATACACTTCCTTTAGGCAAGAGTTCATTAAAATTAATTGATTAGTTTTGAACTTCCTTAGACATAATTATGTTCTAATCATATTGTTAGACCAGGACGCAAGAAAAGACCACTGACTCCAATTAAAATCAAATTAAAGCAAGCTTATTATTTCGACCGACTGGGCTGCCTCTCCCTCCCAAAACCGTGGGAACAAGACAGCAACCCCAGCTTTCTTGCAGCGCAGCTTTATAGCCCAGAAAGTTACACAAAGGGGGGTTACAGATAACAGAACTCTGACGAGCATAACACTGATGGTAGGTCACATTTTTTGCTGGCCCCAACATCAGAATTTATGAGGGTCATTAGAGCCTCATAGAAGGTCGTTATCTGGCCAGGGAAGGCCAAGATTTGTGAGGCGGCACTAAAGTTTCAGAGAGGGCTGCTATCTGGTCAGAGAGCCAGGCATGGGTGAGTTCAAGGCATTCCAAGCAGGTTCAGAATTTGCAGTAATTTATAGTAAAGCCAAAATTATCTTTTCATGGCTTTGTGGCAAGATGGCTCCCAATTTTAAGAAAAGATCAGGTTGGGTCTATCAGTATCTTCTATGTAAATTGGATTAGATTTGGGGAATTTAAAAAACTGTTCAGCAATCAAATATTGATAGATATTTCCTTGGACTGATTTTTTACTTATGACTGGTCTCCATTATTTTAAATAATGCTTTCAATATTCCACTGAGACACAGTATGATTTGAAAGAAAGTATTGCTTTTGTAATGAGACAAATCATGCTGCTGTTATCATTGCTAAAATTACTAGATAGTAATAAAAATTACTAGGATAGTAACAATAGCACTAATAATGCAATAACAATAATTGCCAGGTACAGTGGTGCATGCCTGTAATTCCAGTGACTCAGGAGGGTCATAAGTTGGGGCCCAGTTTAGACAACAAAGTGAGATTGTGTTTCAAAATTTAGAATTTTATAAAAGGACTGAGCAGGGCCTGGGCTGGCGGCTCAGTGGTAGAGTGCTCGCCTAGCATGCATGAGGCACCACAAAAACAAACTAAAAAAAAAAAAAAACAACTAATGTATCCACCTAAAACTAAAGATACATAAATAAATAAATATTAAAAAAAAAAAAAGGACTGAGCAGGGCATGGTGATGCACACCTATAATCCCAGCAGTGGGAGGCTAAGGCAGGAGGACTGAAAGTACAAAGCCAGGGCTGGGGTTGTGGCTCAGTGGTACATCACTCACCTAGCATGTGTGAGGCCCTGGGTTTGATCCTCAGCACCACATAAAAATAAATAAATAAAATAAAGATATTGTGTCCAACTACAACTAAAAAAAAAAAATAATAATAAGAAAGTTCAAAGCCCTTGAAAATTCAAAGAAAGTTATCGAGGCCCTAAGCAATTTAGCAAGATCCCTCACCCAGGGTTCAATCCCTGGTATCATAAATAAATAAATAAATAAATAAATAAATAAATAAACAAACAAACAAATAAATAAAAAGTAAAAAAAAAAAAGAATTGAGGATGTATCTCAATGGTAACAGACCTCTGGGTTCAATATCTAGTACCCAAATAATAATAATTAATATTACTATTGTAATTAATTACCACTAGTAATTAATATAATAATTATGATGATGATAGAATAAACCACTTATTTGGCATTGGGCCCAGTTCTTTACATATACTGGTTTTTCTTTACAGATATTATTTTCACTCTTGTGTTCACAGCACTGGGACTGTTCTGGTGCATGGTTGATGTTCAATAAATACTTGCATAATGAATGAGAAAAACAGGATTAGAAAACAGTGACTTGAGCAATGGTGGTGGGTAAAATGGCAAACAAGAAAGATTATAGATAGGAGAGAGAAAAAGTAGAGGATTTCAATAGCTAAGCAAGGGCTGTTGAGATATAATTTGATGTGAGGTTTGTTAAACTTGTAAGAGTGGGAGAAGAAATAGCTTAATTCTTACAAAGATGTTCTACTGTGCTGTTCTTTTGCAGGAATTTTCATCGCGGGATGATTCCTTGTCTTGTTATGCTAATTGCCTGGATCCAATAACATGAACCCAACTACACTTTGGCCATCCATCCTGTCTGGTTCTAGGATCCTAGAATTCTTGCCATAGAAGTTTTTCTTCTTCGAATCTACGCCTGGATGTGTTTCTGCAACCTCTGCAAGTCAGCATTGTTATACCCGGCTTCCCTTGTCCAGGGGACAAGGCTCCCTTCATTTTTATTCTGCGGTTTCACAATCTAAGGTTTAAAATTTTTCTCTTTTTAAATCTCTCACGGCTTGCTATACACACAGTCCGGAATGAAGATAGGCAGTTCAGGAGCTCTCCACCCTTCTTCTACCCCTCCTCCACGTAGGCCTGTTTTGCTGAAAACCCTAACCCTGAGAACGGAAATGGGTTCAGGGAGGAAAGGCTGGATGCCTCTAAAGAGGAGAGGGACCACCTCTGGAAAGAACTCTGATTAGATTTACAGCCCAGCCTGGGGCGATTGAATCAGGGTGTGTCACCATGGAGACGGGGCTGGCCGGCGTGCTCAGCTGCCATTGGCTGTGGACTCCCGGGCTTGGGGATATAAGCCTGAGCCCGGAGAACAGTGCCCAACTGTGCGGACCAGACTCGGCTACCGCAACGGCCACGCAGCTCAACCGAGCAGAGCCAGCGAAGACCGGCAGGATCTTTGGCAGGGAGTCGGCAGCTCCATGGAGAACGAGTGAGGCCCGGGGACCCGGGAGGCCCTGGGGAGGGGAAATGGCTGTCACTCAGACCTGGGAACTTGGCACCCGGGGCCCAGAGGTGGCCGGGGGAGGGAGCGAGTGCCCTGATGATGCAGAGAGGCCTGGCACGAAGCCTCGTGTCTGGGTCAAGGCAACAGAACAGTGGGGCAGCCAGAGCCGGCGCGCGCGGGAATCGAGCTGGGTAGCGCCGCCAGAACAGGAAGGGGACAAGTTTGTGTAGTGTGGCTACTCTAAGGGACTGTTGTACGTCCGTGTCTGTGTGTGTGTGTGTGTGTGCGCGCGCGCGCGCGCGCACTAAGGGTGCAAGTGGAGAGGGAAGTATACCCCCAACTCCATACCAGGGAGGAGGTCTCCCACCCCGTATGCTCTTAACAAATCCCCAAAGCGCCAGGTACTTTCAGAGGGCGAATTCTTAGTTTCTGCTTTAGAGGAAAGAATGCTCACTTCCCTAGACGGCTCCTCCTTTCCCTCCAAATTGGAGGTCGTGAATGGAGTGTCGAAGGAAATATTTATTCACTGAGTTGAGCAACAGACAAGTAACCACTCCTTCCCACACTTTTGAAAAACCCTGCTCTCTTTTGGTCGTGAAATTCCCAGTCCAAGTAATCAACATAACATTAGGGATCACAGTGGCTTTGGATAATTAGGAATTCAAGGTATTCTTGGGGGACAGATCATGAATGAGGAAGTCCTATGAGCTGTGAATGAGACATACCAAGTGGCCATGCTTAACAGTTCCTTTTTTGCACCTATGGGGGGATGCTAGTTGACTAATTTCTTGCCGACTTTTTTGCTTCTTTGCATCACCTTGTAGCTCTATTGCTTCCACCCAGCTCTTACCCAGTCATTTCCCTGAGAATAGTCTGGTTTATTGTCACATCTGGTTTCCTAGGCTCTGATGGATTGATAGATCTGTTTTTGAGGTGGGGTCATACTATATTGTCCAGGTTGGTCCCATACTTCTGAACTCGAACAGTTCTCCCAGCTCAGCTACCTGAGTATCTGAGACTACAAGTGGACACTTGAGGCACCCAGTTCCTAGGCTCTGCTTTTAAAGAGAAAATTTTCCTCTGGAGGCTTGCTTCGTTGTGTTCAACATTGTTCCACCTCTGAGAACAATCTTTGATCTTTTAAGATGGGTGTGATAGATTGGACATGAAACTGAGAAATTCTGGATTGATTTTTGTTGGAGGCATAGGGATTCTGGGTAAGTGTATATGCCCTTTGGTCCCTGAAGGGTAATGTGAAGGGAAGATGGGAGTAGGCAGGGAAGAGGAGGAGGGGCGGGAGAAAGAAAGAAAGGAGAGGCTGGAGGAAAGAAAGAATCACAGACAGAAGGAAAGCAAAAGTAAGTTTCAAACACTGAGTGTAACAGAGCTACATCCCCAGCCCTTTTTATTTTTTATTTTGAAACAGTTTCTCACTAAATTGTCTAGGCTGAACTTGCTATCTTCCTGCCACAGCCTCCTAGTTGCTGGGATTACAGGCATGTGCCACTACGCCTGGCTTGGAATCTGTATTTTTAACAAGCTTCTGAGAATTATGGTCAGTCCTATAGCCTTTGTTGGTGTTGTGGATTGAGTCGGCTTTTTTGCAATAGTTTAGTGTCCGATCTTAGGTACCTTTGCAATTACCATATGACAAGGGTCTGTGCGGGCCTAGGAATCCCAGAAATGATGATCCAGGGAATGGTGCATAGAAGTGCTCCCAAACAAACAAACAAACAAAAACAACGAAAGCTGAGAGTGTGGCAGCTCAGTGTGGAGTGTTTAACTAGTATTCACGAGGCTGTGGTATGGTCCCCAGCACTGCAAAAGAGAGAGAGAGAAAGAAAAAAAATAGTGTTAAGTATTTTGGCTGAGGAAGAAGCTAGAGGGTGAGGATCCAAAAGGAAATTTGACTTATTTCTGTCTTCAAGGTCATTAGTCTTAATTACATTTTGAGTGTCCCCAAGGAATAGATAGGGTACTAAGGAAGATTGTATTAGATCTGTTACTGCCCTCAGGAAGGGCTCAATTCCATTTTGACTGCTCTCCTTAGCCTTACATACCTTGATTTGATTATTCCATTGCACTTCTCTGCACCCTGTGGTTCTCCTCTCTAAATCTTTGTCACAAGGAAGAGCTATTAAACCTGCCTGTGCTGGGGATATATCCCAGGGCTGGCATGCTTGCCTGGCATGTGAGAAGCCCTGGGTCTTGTCCCTCAGGATTGAAAAGAAAAAAAAAAAAAGAAGCAGCAGCAGCAAACAAACTTGGTGGTGTTAACAGCATTGCAGTTGTGGCTGTTAGTGGACACAGGTTCACTAACTTTTGCCAGGCACTACAATGGAAAGAGTCACACACTAGACTTCAGTGGGCCTGATTCAAAAGAGGGGTGGTGAGTGATCAGTAAACATAGTATGGCTTCTTCTTGGCCAGCTTCTCTGTCCCTGTTGCCCTGGTATACCTGCCAACCTTTTTTTTTTTGTACTGATGGTCATTTGTCTATGATGCCTTTGGAATGGGAGAATTGACTTTATTTTCCTTTTGTTCCCTAGATTCACATATGAAGATTATCAGAAGACTGCAGAATGGCTTCTCTCTCGTACCAAGCACCGACCTCAAGTGGCAGTGATCTGTGGTTCTGGCTTAGGGGGCCTGACCAATAAATTAACTGAGGCCCAGTTCTTTGACTATAGTGAGATACCCAACTTTCCCCAAAGCACAGGTACTGGCAAGGGGAAGTGGGGGATAGGACTGAGGTATTCTGATGGGAGTCTGTGGAACTCAGCCAGGGAGACCAATGTGTCTATTCCTGGACCTAGCATTTGACCTCAAAAAAATGTTATAAGAGAGGAAAAAAAGACTACCATGAATCAGAATGACTTGAGAAGAGAATTCCCCTCATAGAAATCCCATAATAGACAGGGCATGTGTGTGTCACTGTGAGTATGATGATGTCTTTCTGTGCTTTACTGACTCAGCTCCTTACAATAACTCTACAATACGTCCCCACATGTGCTTCCTCCCATATACTATCATTACCACTTATATAGGCCCCTCCAGCCTGCAGCAAAACGGAAACAATGCCTGTAGCCTCCCAGGACAAGGTCAGGCTTCTGTCCAGTGTCTTCCTGCCATTTTCCCCAACTCTAGCTCCAGGCCTAGGATAAGAGATGTGGACTATGTTCTTACAGACACTAGATTAATACATGATTGCACAAGGTCTGATTCACACTGACCCTTTGGAAGGGGATGGAGGTGGATGTTCCCCACACATAATGGGGAATTGAGGGGTGAGAAGATAGCACATCTAGCATTCCTGTAACAGCCAGAAAGCTCTAACGCTAAGTTAGAAAAGGGCTAGGTGAAACAGGGACAAGTAAAGGACAGGGTGGTTTATTTGGTTTACTTATTCTCAAAAAACTAACTTCCCTTAGTTTATTTATTAATTTTTTAGGTTTCTATCTTCCTTCCTCTTTTCTCTGTAGAGTTCTACAGAGTTAGGACTTTTAATAAATACTTAAAAAACCCTTTGGAACAAGACAGAGACCAGAGCAGGCGGGTGTGGGAATGGGGGTTGGAAAAGGAAAAAATAGAAAGAGGAAGGGCATAGTTGTCAGAGGGAGAGGGTAGTGACATTGGCTCCACCTGCCATGTGACTGCTGCCTCCAGTGAGCAGGATATTGCACTAAGTGATAATGAGTTTTTATCAGTCTTTTTATTTTTCATATTCTATGTTGGTTTTCTTTGCTTTTACTACTTATTTATTTTAAATTTTTAAAAATTTTTGGAAATAGAGATTGAACTCAGTGGTGCTTTACTACGGATGTACATACCCAGCCCTTTTTATTTTTTATTTTGAGACAAGATCTCGCTAAGTTGCTGAGGCTAGCTTTTAACTTATTATCTTCCTGCCTTAGCCTTGTGAGTCTCAGGAATTATAGGTATGCCTTACCACACCCAGCACTACTAATTTTTTTTAAGATAAATTCTGTTTGTGTAGCCCTTAACACTTCCTCTTGATTCTGGCCCCTCTCCCAGACCATTCATACCCTCAGGGATAAATTGGCCATCCATTAGAAGGGGCTGTCAGAAGAGGGAAATGGTGATATGGTTATGTTTGTGGGGAGTTATCTGTATTCCAATTGCCACGTATACCTACCTTGGCATGCATTCCCACAAAACTGTACTGTGCATCATAAGGAAGATTTGCATGGGCCCAAATTCAGCCTCTTTCCCCCTTGCTCAGAAGCCTCCTCTTTAGGAAGACAATGTATACCTGAGCTTTCTTGCTGGAATGAAGAGGCATATCCTTTCGTTAGCACAATGCAAGGATATTCTTTTTCAGTACTAGTGATTAAACCCAGGGCCTCATGCAAGTGATCTTCCAATGAACTATCTCCCTAGCCCTTTTTATTTTTTGAGTCTGGGTTTTACTATGTTGTCCCGGCTCCCTTGAACTGCCAATCCTACCTTCAGCCTCCCAAACAACTAGGATTACAGGCCTGAACCAGCATGTCTGGGTTTATTTTAAGAATTTTAAAAATTTTGGAAAAAGCCTATAATTACTGCATTCATTATCACCAACTTTATTTCTTAGTCACTTTTACTTTCTTTCAAATGTCTTTCTCGTTAATTTGGGGAAAAAAAATATATATTTTTTTGTATGCAGTTCTGGGGATTGAACCCACAGGTTCTCTACCACCAAGCTACACCCCCTACTCTGGCCTTTTTTTGAGACAGGGTCTCTCTAAATCCCTTGCATTGGCCTCAAACTTTTGATCCTCCTGTCTTAGCCTCCTAAGTTGCTTGGGAGCACAGGTATATGCCACAGCACTGACTGAAACTGCTTTAAAAAGCCTTTTGCTCTTTCTCCATATACTCATATGGAGCATCCTTACCAACATAGCTCTAATCTCAGGATACATTTTTATGATTATAATTGCCTGTCTTTCCACCAGACTTAATGCTTTTTGTTTAATTATAACTTTAATGTGTTAAACACAGGGAGAGAGTGGCTCCTAGTAGGTCCCCAAAGGTTCTGTGTTATATGAGCGCATAATACCGTTCTTTTTCCTTTTTGTTTGTGTACAGTGCCAGGTCATGCTGGTCGACTGGTGTTTGGGTTCCTGAATGACAAGGCCTGTGTAATGATGCAAGGCAGATTCCACACATATGAAGGCTACCCCCTCTGGAAGGTAATCAGGGGCAGAGGGCTGGTTGGGTCTGGAAGAAGTGGAAGAGAACTACTCTTTTATTGCCTAGCTCTTTGGGTGACATAGACTTTTGGTCCCCCTTTTCATCTTTCATGTATTATGCACATCTGCCTAAGTAGATAGTGAACGTTTGAGAAAACTTTTTCTAACTTTTTCTTCTAAGGTGACATTCCCTGTGAGGGTTTTCCGGCTTCTGGGTGTGGACACCTTGGTGGTCACCAATGCAGCTGGAGGGCTCAACCCTAATTTCCAGGTTGGAGATATCATGCTGATTCGTGATCACATCAACCTACCTGGTTTGGGTGGTCAGAATCCTCTCAAAGGGCCTAATGATGAAAGGTATGTATCTGGCTCTTGAGTATAGGGTTTCAGGACTTTTCTAGGAGTTGTGAGAGAGTCCTTGTTTCTGAGATAATACAACTTATGCCCTAGGTTTGGAGTTCGTTTCCCTGCCATGTCTGATGCTTATGACCGGAACATGAGGGAGAAGGCTCTCAGTACCTGGAAACTAATGGGAGAGAATCGAGAGCTACAGGAAGGCACCTATGTGATGGTGGCAGGCCCCAGCTTTGAGACTGTGGCAGAGAGTCGCCTGCTGCAGCAGCTGGGGGCAGATGCTGTTGGTGAGAAGGGGAATTTGACTGGGGATCTAAAAGAACATGGGGGAGGAGTAGATTAGAGACTCTAGTTAGTTCAAGAGGATCTTATTTAAAGGAAGGTTGGATTCAACTGACTTTCAGGAAACCAGTGGGGAAGTTTAATGTTACAGCACAAGAAACTTCCCCTCTGAGTAGCGAGGACTTAACTGCTTCAGTGTTAATAACCCAACTCATGATTTGAAATATTTCTAAGAATTATTATAAAAAAATATCAGTAAAGCTACTGTCTAACTCATACTGGAAGGTGGACTTCTTTATTTAGTCAGTTATTCCTGACTTCAAAAGTAGCATAAACACACTGAAATAACACATTGCATTAGCAATATATATAGCTGTGTGTGTGTGTGTGTGTGTGTGTGTGTGTGTGTATATATATATATATATATATATATATATATATATATATATATATATTGAACCCAGGGGTACTTAATCAACTGAGCCGCATCTCCAGCCCTTTTTTATATTTTATTTAGAGACAGGGTCTTGTGGAGTTGCCAAGTGCTTTGCTTATCTGGTGAGGCTGGCTTTGAACTCAAATCCTCCTGCCTTAACCTTCTGAGTTGCTGAGATTAGCTAAACACTAATTTAGCACTTCTTTGGATGTTTGAGGTTTTTGGGGGGTGAAGGGATGTGCTGAGGATTTAACCCAGGATGCTTTACCAGTGAGCAATATCCCTAGCCCTTTTTATTTTATATTTTGAGTAAGGGTCTCACTAAGTTGCCTAGGGCCTAGCCTTAAACTTGATCCTCCTTCTCACTCTTCCTCACCTTTGAGCCTTCTAAATTGCTTCAGCCTCCTAAACTTCTGGGATTACAGGTGCGTGCCACTGTGCCTGATGAATTTTTAAATTCTCAAGTTATGAATGATAGTCTAGCTGGGCATGGTGGTGCATGCCTGTGCACCAAGGGTTCGTGAGACTGAGGCAAGAAGATTGCAAATTCAAAGCCAGCCTCAGCAACCTAGCAAGGCCCTAAGCAATTCAGTGACACCCTGACTCCAAATAAAAAAAAATTAAAAAGGGCTGGGGATGTGGCTCAGTGTTAAGCACCTCTGGGATCAATTCCTGATATGCTACCCCCCCACCCCCATACACACCAAAAAAAAAAGAAAAAAAGAAAAGAAAAAGAAACATGGTCTAAGTCAGCCTCAGCAACCTAGCAAGGCCCTAAGCAACTCAGTGTCTCCAAATACAATTTTTTTTTAAAGGGGCTGGGGATGTGGCTCAGTGGTTAAACACCCCTGGGTTCAATTCCTGGTATGACCCCCACTTCCCCCACAAAAAAGAAACATTGTCCAAGCCAGTCTTTTTTTTAAGAGAGAGAATTTTAATATTTTCGGGAGACACAACATCTTTGTATGTGGTGCCGAGGATCGAACCCGGGCTGCATGCATGCCAGGCGAGTGTGCTACCGCTTGAGCCACATCCCCAGCCCCCAAGCCAGTCTTAGCAACCTAGCAAGACCCTAAGCAACTCAGTTGACACCATGTCTCCAAATAAAAAGTTTTTAAAAAGGACTGGGATGTGGCTCAGTGGTTAAGCACCCCTGGGTTCAATTCCTGGTATGGCCCTACCCCAGCCACCCCCCCCAAAAAAAAAAAAAGAAGAAAAGATAGTCTCAAAGGTGAGGAAGAGTCATTTGTGATTCCAAACAGTTTATTTCTCTCTTTTTCCAAATCAGGCATGAGCACAGTACCAGAAGTTATAGTTGCACGGCACTGTGGACTTCGAGTCTTTGGCTTCTCCCTTATCACTAACAAGGTCATCATGGATTATGAAAGCCTGGAAAAGACAACTCATGAGGAAGTATTAGAGACTGGAAAACAAGCTGCACAGAAACTGGAAAAGTTTGTCTCCATTCTTATGGCCAGCATTCCCCCCCCTGACAATGCCATTTGACCAGCCCTGGAATGGTCCAACCGCTAATGGGATCCAAGTAGTTACTACCTTCTTTGGCCCTTTTCTGGGTCATGTGCCTCTACCCTTCCATAATAGCAGAAAGGAAAGGAGTGGAAGATCCCCGTCCTTCACCTTCTCCACTTTCCCACCAGATACTTCTGGTACCAGATCCTCTTGCTCAATTGTCTTCTCAGAGCAGTTTGTTTTCACCTCCATTCTTTGTAAGAGACAGAGCCCATGCTCTGTCACACCTGGGGATATACCCATGGTTTGACATAGGCCTTTGACTGTCACACAGTAGCTTCTACTACTGCCTCACCTAAAGCACTAGAGACCAAAAAAGACCAGCCCAGAACCTCCTGGAATTTAATTAATATCATAATGTTTTTACAATAAAGAGAGATGAAATAATTTTTCATTTTTTGGTGCAATTTGGTGTGAGGCTGGGGCACAGCCCAACACTGGCATGAAAAGGTGTGAGACCACATATCTCGCGTGACTGTCTGCTTCTCAGACAAGTCGCTGAGAATAGGGACAAGATGATGTGTGAGCAGCAAAGGATGAAGAAAAAAGCCAAATGTTGAAAGATGTTATAAGCTGAGGGAGGGCTAACTTCTGACACTCAATGACCACTTCTTCAGACCAGTCTTTGCCTCTGTCCTTTCTTCTGATTGTTTCATTCCCTGTCTACCCTCATGAATATCTGAATTTATTAAGCCCCTTACATATCTCTTCTTGCATTACTTCCCCTCTACTCTCGCATTCTGTAGCCATATTCTCCATCACTACATTCTGACAATGTAGTGGCAAGCATCCTTTTGTCTGCTGCCAGTGGCCCCCCTGCTGACTAGATTCCTGCCAGTCCAGGCCAACCTCTGAAGTTAGTTCATACCCAGCTTCTTTGAGGCCCTTCTTTCTTCCTACTCTTTGCTTTCTGGGCTGTAGTCCTTTCACTTTTGATTGATCAGAACGTTCCTGTCATGCTGCATGTAGGCATTGTTTTGCAATTATTTTTGCTTATCAACTTGCATTCAGCTGGCTGGCATGATTGAAACCACACTGCCCTCTCAAGTTTATGTGCCTTTTAGGAAAGGACAGTACCAGCTGGTGCTGCGCCCCTCCTCTGACTCAGGCAATGGCAAGGCGTCCATCCTCTGGAGGAGCGCAGTATGTTTCTGGGAATGGGCTGGTTTGTTTTTGTATTCCTTTAAGACGTATGCGACTTCTCATATGACCATTAAGTATGAAGGAAAAAACATGACCTTCCCAATAAATGCAACTACTTCTAAAGAATAAATCTGTTTGCTCTAAATGCAATGATTCAGCTGTGGAACGTAAATTGTTAATGTTTAATGAAAAACCCCCTGTAGGAAAAACAGTCAAGGAAGTTTTTTGAGAAATTAAATTAAAATCTAGAGAAGAAGAATTAATGTTAAGAAGACAGATTAGTGCTTAGTAGTGGGCAACTTATTCTTGTTCCTGTGCACAATGGTTTGTGCTCTTGCTGTTGTTTGATTAAAATTAGTAGCCTCTCTTTTCAAGTTAACCACTTGCCATAACCGTGGCACCGATTCTAGTCAATAAGTCAAGAAAGAATAGTCAAGGTGTATAGGTCAATAGTCTGGGACATTTCTAACTATTATTAAAAGCTAACTAAGCAGAAACAGCTCAAAGCAAAATGCGAACTGAAAGTAAAAATGCTTGCTTATGCAAAAGCCAAGATATATTCTTCTTATCTAATTGTAGCTACGATTTTGTTTCTTTGAATAATGATTCCTGTTTTGTAACCACAAAGTACTGTGAACCTGCCAAAATGAAAAGTATATATGATTAACTTCACAAGTAAAGATTGGGATTCAGCACCTTCACTTTTGTGCCTGTTGTTTCTCCACCCCCCTTTCGCCGACTCCTCACCATCCATTTGTCTCCTGAGACCCCCTGTTGGAGCTGGACTCCAAAAAGCTGGGAATGGTGGTATGTGCCTGTACTCCCAGTAACTCAGGCAGGAGGATCACAAGTTTGAGACCACCATCAACAATTTAGTGTCTCAGTTAAAAAAAGGCTCAGATTATGTGGTTTAGTGGTAAAGTGCTCCTGAATTCAATCTCCAGTACTTGGAAGAAAAAGACTGATGATCCTCTAATGTCCTAGTGATGGCATTTCAATTGTTAGTGGTATAATATGGAAGAAGTATTTGGAACAGGAAGCTTTTGAAGAACTCTTTCAAGTAGTCCTTTGTTAGTCACTGACCAATTTAGCTGAGGCTTGCTTAAAGAAAAAGCATCCTGGATGCTTTTCCTCTCATCTTCCTCTCCACTGACCACTAAAATCTTCCCCAGACCTTTAAGGGAACTGCTACTATCTATTTGTTTCTGAGAACTGGTTTAGAGGGCAGGACTGTGCATCCTTTAGATATATACATCCTTTAGATATATACTGTTGCATTCATTTCATGAGATGGTTTAGACATTTTTCTTTATTTTGAATATTTCTTTATATAGCATTAGCTAACAATATTAAGTTGAGAATATAAAAATGGTACTTCTCTCAAGTGCCCTACACATTTATTTATTTATTTATTTATTTTTGAGGGAGTCCTGGGAATTGAACCCAGGGGCACTCTACCACTAAGCTACATTCCCAGCCCTTTTTATTTTTTGTTTTGAGACAGGGTCTTGTTAGGTTTTTGAGAGTTTCACTAAATTGCTGAGACTGGCCTCAAAATTGCAATCCTGCCTCAGCCTCCCAAGTCTCTGGGAGTGCAAGTGTATACCTCTGCACCTGGCTGCCCTACAATTATAAGATATGAAGTACCTGTTGTACAAGGCTTGTATGAAGTAGGTATAAGTCATGTTGTGGAACCCAAAGTAAGGAGTGATTGTGTATACTAGACAGTGGAGATTGGGTAGGGTAGGGAAAGTTTCATAAAAAAAATTTGAGCTTAGTTCTTCTGTATGTATGGGAGGTGCTAGGGATTGAACTCATGAATAATACCTCATCCCCTGAGCTTAGTTTTAAAGGATGGAAGGTAGAAAGGATTTCACATCAGGGTAAGCCAAAGCACAGACCTGCAAAAAAGTACTATGTACATTCATTGGTCATTGTCACAATCACTGTGACTAGAACAAGGCATGTAGTGTTCTTGTGGGACATTGGCAGAAAGATAACTGGAGGCCAGAGGAAGGCTGCATTTGGTGCTTGACTTTCCTATTGCTGATCTGTACTTAGATTAAAAAATATGTCCTGGAGATACCTGAATGGAATATTTTGGGCATTTTTAGTATTTTAGATTTATTAAGTGGGTTTATTAAATTCATATGTACTCATATGCACGCATAAATTTTCTTCTATTTTTGTTGGTTTGTTTGTTTTGGTACTGGGGATTAAACTCAGGGGCACTTTACCACTGAGCTATATCCCCAGCCCTTTTTATTTTTTTTTTGAGTCAGAGTCTTGCAAAGTTAAGAAGGATTAAAAGTCTTGCCAAGGCTGTCTAGGACTTTTAATCCTCCTGCCTCAGCCTCCCAAGTCACGAATTGTAGACATGTGTCATCATGCCTGGCAATAAAATATAATAAAATTAAAAAGTAAGAGAGAAAAAGATGAGCTGTATTGAGATATTCACATAATCTATAGATTCACATATAAAATATTTTATATTCACATATAAAATTCACTTATTTAAAGTGTATAGTATTTAGTATATTCATAACTAAATGTGGTCATTGTCAGTCAATTTTAGAACATTTCATCATTTCAAAAGGAAACCTTCCTCATTCCTCCACTGTCCCCTACCCCCAACAGACCCTAACAACCACTAATCTACTTTCTCTTTATAGATTTAATTATTTTGTACTTTCATATGAAAAGAATTATTTAAGGAATTATTTAGATTTTTGTGCCTGGATTTTTTCACTTAGCATAGTATTTTCAGTGTTCATCCAAGTACTCAACATTTTTTTGAGTTCCATTTTATTTATAATTTTTTAATGTATAAATTTGACCAATCCAGCCAAAACTAAATGTTTAGGAGAGCAAGGGAATAATGGCTCAAAGTTAAGGGAAATAGGTCTGGAAGTGCTTCCTATATAAAAGAAGTTCTTGGGGTAAAAAAAAAGAAAACTGATGAGTCCTTTTGTTTCTAGAGAGGCTGCAGGATGCCTGCAATATAGATGGGTTTTCCTGAGTCTTGTGATGTCAGGACGCACATTCAAGTCAGCTTTATTTCTTGAGCCTATCAGTCATCTTTTTGGATGCCAATCAGTATCTATTATGTGATATGAATAAAACATTATCCTAAAAATCATAACTGATATGAGACAAATGCTTTCAATATGGATGAGAAACAGGTATACACATAAGAAGAGGAACAATCTTTTGTTGATAAAGAAAATGACTACTCCTAGTCATTTTGTACATTATATTGTCATGGTTTAAACTTGGCTTTCTCTACTGGACTGCAAGGAAGAGGGCCCAGTTTTTAAAAAGTAAAAAAAAAAAAAAGATATACAGCAACGTGTGAAAAATAGCACATGCTAAGTATTAGTGATTACACGTGTTACAGGAATTCAAAGGAGAAACAACCTTGTAGGAGCTGAGGGTAGGTTGGGTATGTGGAAGAAGAATGGATGAGATTTCAGTTAAGCCTTACAAGAAAAGATAGGTGGCAAAGACGTGGAACAAGGTGCTTCATGCAGGCAAATTCAGAAATGTTTAATCACTAAACAGACTAAAATAGTTCAACTGAAGAAATGAGGGGGAAGATAGAGAGGGACTAGATTGTTTGGGCCTTGGTTCCAGGATGAAGTGTAAGAACCTTATTTTCTAAGTAAGATGGGCAGCCATTGAAGACTTTTACACTAAGGACCATATTTGGAGATAAAAGCCTAACTGGAAGGAAAGAGGCTTGCCTGAAAAAACAAACAAACAAAAAAACCCTAGTCAGGATCTCACAAAGTTGCTGAGGCTAGCCTCAAACTTTTGATCTTCCTGACTCAGCTTCCAGAGTCACTGAGATTATAGCTAAAGAGGTTTGTTTTCATGGTAAAATTACTTTCACTGAAAATTAACCATATATAATAGTTTAGTTGTTAGTGTGGTATTTGATTTTCTTAGTCAAGTTGAGATCTTTTTAGTATCTGGGCATTTAGCTCAGTTTAGGCAGAGCACTTGCCTAGTGTTGTGGTTTGGATGTGAGGTGCCCCCGAAAAGCTCATGTGTGAGACAATGCAAGAAGGTTTAGAGGAGAAATGATTGGGTTATGAGAGCCTTAACGCAATCAGTGAATTAATCACCTGAGTATTAATTGAGTATTAATTGAAGGCAGGTGGGATATGGCTGGAGGAGGTGGGGGGGTATTCGAGGCATGGCTTTGGGGTATGTGTTTGTATTTGGCAAGTGGAGCTCTCTCTC